TTTTATTGTGGTGTTTATTTGTTTTAATAAATTATAATTATTTATATATTAATTGAAAAAAAAATTTTTTTTATGAGATTTAAATACATCATCTATTGAAAATGAATGATATTAATCTAGAATTTAATACCATTGTATCGAAGTTAGTCTTTTTTTTAATGAAGTGTTTATATTTTATAATTTATGAAAGTTTTTAATATTAGATGATTTATATTTTATTTAAAGTTATATATTTATAATTTAATATAATTTAAATTATAAATTTTTTTAATATTTATATATTATATGTTTCTACAACATTTATTTTTCTTATGAAAACTCATTGACAACTAGATTTTATAACATGTTCCGTATGGTAATTTTGTTGGTTCTTTCATCGTACGTGAGATAAATAAATTAATATATATATATATATATATTTATGAAAATGAATTGATATGTATTTGCTGGTTTGATTCTACATGAATATTATAAAATTTAAAATAAATGTCAAAAAATCACAATTGTTTGATGTGGCATGAAAATTAATGTAAATTTACTCTTTTTATTCAACTATCATAAACCTTGAACTTGAGGCTTACAATTTAGAAGGCATATGCTACAAATCACACATATGCGCATCAAGTTAATTATTTTTATTTACAAGGATGAATTTATTTGGAAGGTGCATTTTATCCAAAAACTAGAAATTGTTTAAATATATGAGAAAAATACATGTCAAGTTTCAACTTTTAAAAAAATTAAAATTTTAACTTTAAATTATATCATTTTATTTAATTAAAACTCAAATTTAAAATTTAAAATTTTATTTTATTAAATATTGATATTTAATAAAAATTGATTAAAATTTAAAATTTTAAATTAAGATTTTAATTTTTAAATATAAATTAAAACTCTAATTTTTTTGAGAGTCAAGACGATACGCACTAATTTATAAATATATATACTTAAAAAAGATATATAAGAAAAGTGTATATCAGTACCGATTTTCAAAAGTAATTAGAATTTCAACATTAAATTATATTATTTTATTTAATTAAAATTTAATTCAAAATTTAAAAAATTATCTTATTAGATATTAATATATATATTTTTTTGAACATTTTGACACGGGCGGGTTCAAAACCCGCCCAAGAGAAGGGGAATGTACCTAGCAAGCTGGCTAATGCCAGTTGTGCTATTAGATATTAATATTTAGATTTAATATAGTCATAATATATAATC